AAAGACAACTGGTATCAAGGGAAGTACTGGAACCAAAAAAAGACAATTTAAGATTTCAAATAAAATCTCCAGTCAAAACATACACTTTATGCTAAGACATTATGTGACTTGAATTAGGTAACAGGAAGAGTCATCATGAAGTGATTTTTCAGAAAAGGGATTGTGATTAAAGAAACACTGTATCTTTTAAGAATGACTGTTTAGTTTGATGTACATGAACTACTATGATGAAAAAGAACAACCAAAAAAAATCTACCAAGTTTCTGGTCATGTTATAATCTGATTGGATAAAAATAGTTCAGATACAGTATTTTACAAACGTTTTGAACTATATTGAGTCAAATATGTGACTAAGATAACAGAATACTGAAGAACACAAAGTATTTAAGACATTTTACTCTGGAGCTCTTTCCCAAACCCCAAGGGTCTCCACACGCATTTTTTTTTTTCATACAACTTTCTAAGTTGTATTTTTTTTGATTGTTGAAGAGAGTAGGAAAAATTCTGATGTTTTTCCTGGAGCTGAATATTAAGAATACCACTGTGTAATAATAGAAGCCATATGTTAAAAAACCCGACGGCACACGAAAGAAATTCACATTTCAGTTTTGTATGTCTTTGGGAGCATTAATGTGTAAACTGCTAAACACTACTGCTCAAATTAAGCTCATTTTCTTGACATGTTCTGTGATACCTGCTAGCCTGCTGTTTTACTGCAATAAAATGCTTCCCAAAAACCAGATGGAATCTTAACAGCTTCATTCTCTTGGTTGCATCTGGAGTGCTGGCAATTAACATAGACAATATGCAAAACATTCCTMTCCTCAAATACAAAGCACCTTTGGGTGAAGGTAAAAAAGCTCAGCAACAGCTAAACTGCTCTGCAAGATCCAGCCATTTTCAGGAATGTTGGAACATAAACTCCAAGTGTTTTTATGGTACTTTGAGATCTTTTAATGGGAACTATAAAAATATATTGCAATGGGAACTATAAAAATGTATTGGCATATTAAACATTTTTCACCAACTTTAATAAGAACTTCTAATAGGAGCATTACTTTACAGGCAAATAAACTAAAGCACAGGGAGAATACCGGATTTGTTTTTGATGGCAATACATCAGTGTCGTACCAAGGTCAGAAGTGAGTATAGACTCCAACATTTGATGATACAGTTTAGTGGGCACAGCAGTGTTCAAAGGCTGGMTCTTGGAGGTCTTTTCCAACCCTAATGATTGTCTAACCAGGGATCACTAGCAGGACCCTTCCCTTCCTCCTAAGTATCTATCATRTACAAAAGTTATGTAACAGAAACACCATTTTGCAAAGCAATGAGACATGAAACATGACTGATCAAGAGCAAAAGAAAAACTCCTACAAAAAAGTGCAACTAYAAGAAGTAAAGCCAGTAAGCGATCTCTAAAAAGAGTGAGATTGGAAAAAATATTTTTGATGTCAGCTTCTCTAATCTAGAAAAATTTCATTTTACCTTTCATCTCAGTCAATGAAATTAACATTTCAGATTTTTTTTATTGAGTCYTGTCTCATTCACAAAGAATATCAATTGTGTTAATGAGGAAAAAATACATTCTGAATGGGTTTTATCACAGGYCCAGAAATATTCCTGGCATTTAGCCAGTATCTCAGCACACCTAAATGAAACAAACCCTTTTAATAAATCAGGAGATGAAGGACTCCAACAAAACTAATTTTTTTATATCCTCACCAGATGGTTGACTAGGCAAAAGCTAGCTGAGGAGTTGCAATAAGAGAATTACTTCAGACATAGTATTACATGATGATAGCACGTGATCAGACAACGAACTCGAAGTGTAAACGACTGCAAAAAAATGGCATGAGGCACTCAGGTCACCCTACCTAGCTTCAAGAAAGTAGTAGTGAATAAACCTCAAATATGGTATGGTTCTTGGAATGGTCCCTGTGCAGGGKCAGGAGTTGGACCCAGTTAGCTTTATGTGTCCCTTCTAACACAGGATATTCCATGCTTCTCTGATAAATCTATTGCAAAAGAAGGAAATACAGAACTTGAGCCCTTCACTGTAACACAAAACCAGTGCTGGTACAAAGCTAATACAGTCTCCTCTCCACAGCTATTAAAACCTTTCCCTAAAATACTTACTTTAATTCTAGAGAAGATAAAGAATCATCTCCATTTCATAGATTCAGCTGCACTGGCAATTTCTCAACCACACCATTTAGTTAGGAAACATCTCTACCCCTTTATGTTTGCTTCACCCATTTTAATGAGCTGAGTATTTCTGTCCCACCTCTCCAAGTTCACTTGCTTATGAACTCTGGTATCTGTTGCAATAGCTCTTGTACTGTCTGCCATCTTCTATTTTTCACTGTTCCTTCTTTTTCCTTTACAGCAAGCCCTACTCTGATGGTCAATTCTTTCATGCCAAGAAAGGTCAAACACAAAACAAACAGACAAACAAACAAAAAAAAACCCACACAACAAACCCCCCCCACYCTAGAAAAACAGTATACTGACTCTTTACCAGTGATAAAGACACAGATCAACTTTATTCCATTTTTCCCAAACATTCTTCAGAATCATTTTGAAACTTTTTCAAGTTACTGAAAATTCCTTTTTAAAGTTCCAAAATATTTTCCAATAGAACTCCTTTTCTTCTTTTAGTAAATGGGGCCATATCTACATCTCAAAAGGTAACCTTCAGAAACTGAAGTGTCAGGAAAAAAAAACCCAATCACCTGCCAAAATCTTGAGAAGTACATAAATCAGACTAGTTTTCTCCATCATAAAGAAAAAAAATATCCTAGCAATACAAAATATCATTAGAAAATATCAAGCAGATCTTACTCTTAAAAGATCTCTCCAAACAGGTACACAGGATAAATCAGTGGCTGAACTAGAATTTCCATTCCTTAAGAAAATTGTATTTTTTAGGATTTATTTTATACCAAACCAGGTAGAAATGTTGAAGTGCCAACATGTTTAGCTACATAAAATATTTCTCAAACATTCAATTCATATATATACAAATATTTTGTTTACACACACCATATTTTTAAACAGAACACTGTGTTATTCCAAAATTAAAGCCTTTAAATTGATTTGACATTTAACTATATCTGCTATATGAGCTATAGGAAGCTCTAGTTGAGCAATCCTTCACTATGTGTTGTCCCCCTGTAACTGTAACAAACACCTCCTCAGAGAACTTGGCACTACAGACTCCACAGATTGCTCAGAACAGAAATATTATGTCCAGGGAAAAGGCTCACAGAGAAACCTAGTTCATAAGAGCACTGGGTCAGAAGGTTTATAACCTGTCAGATGCAGGCATTCTAAAGATGTTTGTTGAACCAGCCAGAWATCACATTTCTGTTTTCTCACAAGAAAACCACAAGAGAATCTCAACAGAGAAAATATGATGGAAGATTCTATGGCACTTCTAGTGGCACCAACAAACCCTCAGTATGCTACAGGAGAAGAGCAACAGCCCATCAACAAGCCCTTTATGTCAAAGTGCTGAAAAAATGGCAAGTTAAAACTCACAAAGGAAATAGTCTTACTCACTTTTCCAGATTGAATGATGCCTATAGGGCTAACATACCCTTTCCTAAAAGAAAAAGCCAACTTAAAAAAATTAAAAAWTATTTTTACAACATGAATCTTGTAATTCCATTAAAATTATTCTCCTTTCCATACTTTCTTGTCCCTTCCATTAGAAAAGAAAAACAAAAAAAAAAGTGCTAGAAAAGTTCACATTAAGTTCTGTGTTTCTATAAATTCAGATGGAAGAATTCAAAAGATTAATGATTGCGGGRGCTGATGATCATGATCATAAATAGCTCACAAATAACTATAGAGTCTACCCAACTATATTAGAAAAACCTTAAATCATTCCCTTAGTAMATAAGCAAGATGTATCTTCTTGCTATAAAAACCAAGCTAGTACATCATACTATGCATTCAAATCAGCTCCAGGTCTCTAGGACCAATAAAAGAATAGAAAAAAAGCCAAAAGTTGGCTGTTTCTCTTCACAAACCACACTTGGATGAGCAAAATTACCAGAGTTGGACATTAAACAAATTGCAGGGTATTTTTAAAGCACCTAATTACGGCATTATGGCATTATGCAATGTCTATCTGGAGATTCATCCTGATAAATTASAGATGTATAACCCCTACATACCTTATTCACAGATTAATTTTGTAAACTCAAGTATCATATATAACCAAAATGTTACTTAATAGCATATGGCATGAAATTTATAGGATGTTGACGTATTTCACACTTCAGTTATTTACAAACATGACAGCCGTATTTTGCAAATTACTGTTTTAGCAGACATTTCAGAGTTTTAGGTTCTGAATTATGTTTTCAGAATTATATTTTTTCTCTTCAGAATTACATCTTTCATTAAAAAGTAATGGAAATATATTGTATCTCAGTTGTTTAGCAAGCAACTTTTTTCACTTATTGCTACTTATTTTTCTGAACAAAAAAAAACAAAAAGAAAAAAAAAACAAAGWCTCTATTTTTTTACTAATATCTACATTGTGAAAGCTGTTATGCGCATTTATGCTCAATCTCCAGTGATTTTCATTCTCCAATGATACATTTCATTCTTTACACTAAGCAAAACATGTTTATATCTAACTCAAAAAGGTAAAATCAAATACTCACAAGTGCTCTTAAGCTTAAATTGACTTACAACCAAGAATAACTTTTGACATTAAAAAAAAAAAGAAATGCAACTGTATTTTCCAGTTGAAAAGATAAATTCTTTTTTTTTCCCAGAAGAACAGTTTCAATCAGATTGATATAGCTTAACTCTCAGAAGCAACTGATAGAAGCAGGACAATGTCTGATAATACAAAACAACTGGACATTAATGAATATGAATATAAATATATATTTCCCATACCAAAAAAGGCAATTTTAAGCAGCTGCAGAAACTGAGCAGGCTGTGATAGTAAGAAAAAATGTCATACACACTCTACTTACTAGCATGCTTATCTGCAAGCATTATAAGGCTGTTAGAAATATCTCTTCGTCTGTAAAAACACACCACTTTTGCTTCCACATTTCCATTGGCAGTCTACAAAAGAAAGATAAAATCAAGTCATAATGTATCCCTCCTTAGCTGAATAATACAAATTAAATGCTCTCTGCTTGAAGTGTTCCCTCATATCAGTAGTTCTCACATGATCAGTCAAGCTGAAATCAACAGACTTACTCCAATAAAAAAAAAATCTTCTTGGGAGAGGCCAGAGTAGAGGATTAAACACAATTATTTAATCCTCAGAATTTATATATAATTCAGCTGTTCAGAGATGCAATGCCAGTATCACACTAACGTAAGAATCCTTCAGAAATTTTAGAACCTTGTGAACATTTCTTTGCAATCCAGCTTTAGACAGAAATGTACATTGTAAAGTACAATGTACATTTTTTCAGAAATGTATGGCATTTTTTCAGAATCTCATTCAATACAACATCTATTGATAAAGTCTTTTTGAAAGACTTTTGAAAGGTTTATTTGAAAAAGTCATATCAGCTCCTAAAACAAAAGAGCTATTTAGTCCACTGTCTTTTTTTCATGACCCATTATGGGAACCATGTTCTTCAGCTTGATAACATAAAGAATTTTAGTAACATTTGAAGTACTGTACCCTCCTTCTTGAAGGGTACAACAGTACTTTTTAAACTTAGGTTATTTATTTAAAACTAAATATATATATATACTATAAATATACTAAAAAGTATAATGTTTTAATTAAGTTTCTTACAAAAAAAAAAATTGTCCCTGGTAGAAAAACAATCAAAGCATTTCATTACGTATTTACATAACATCTCCATCTTTGTTCAATATTCTTAACATGTGAAAGCAGACCATTCACATTTAAGATGTCTGGACTACAACCTCCAACCTCTTTAAAAAAAAAAAAAAAAATCAATACATGATTGTTTCACCCTTGCATGAGAAAGATTAAATTATGGAAGTACAGTTTAAAGGTAATAAACATTACATTCAAAACATGATTGGAATCACATCAATTACTGTGAATAAAAAATATTCTCCAATAAAAGTCCAAAATTATTTGCCATGCACAAGGTCAGTGGGTGTTGTGTTGGACACCCCTAACTGTTAACTAGTGGTTTGACGTCACCATGGAGTAGCGCTTCATTAATAGGAAGAAAACCACTTGCAGGTCACCAATTTTTTTAATTTATTTTTTAACCACCAGGGGAAAAATGTCTTTATCATTATTTACATCATGATGGGCATTTTAACTTTTGATGCAATGAATCAGTAAGTGTTAATACTGCTCGAGGAAAAAGTTTAAAAAGAAAAAGAAAATATATATATAAACTCCACACTATTCTTAGTAGCATAAGAGTGAAGAAAAATAATCCTACTATCCCCAAAACAACACTCAATAGAGCCGCGATTTTTTAGGAAAATACACTCAGGATAAAGACAGAGAACAGAGTCTCTGCTTTAYTCAAAAGCCCATTCTTCATTCCCAGCTGCCAATAGGCAGAGCAATAAACAGGCACAGAAGTCACACATTCTGTTATCTGATCACTGCAAAGTCTCGCTGGTACCTTCCAGCTCTGTACAMACATATCTAAAAGCAGACACATTACATGATGGCTGTCATTCCAGATGGATTCACAGTGTCACCGTCAGCCAGAGAATTAAATTCATTTCATTTTCACAAGCATTCATAGAATTTGCTTGAAAAATTTTGCAGCAGAGTAATCCTGTTCACCAGGAATGATCAGCTGGGTGTTTCCTTAGGTAAGGGCAGAATTACAGGATATCACATAGCAAGTTTTCAGTCACTGATACATACAGAAAATATCAAAGAAGTAAAAAAAAAAA